TCTTGATTTAGTTTTGGTAAGTCGTAGGAATAGCTATGATGTAACGGTTTTCCATGTAGAAAGATTACGAGACACTAATCTCCTTTTTATTCTGTATCTTGACCAGGCCACAAAAAATTCATGTTTATTATATATTCATATCAAAATATATTTAGAACTTGTTCATTCTATGACGAAATAAACATGTCATCACATATAGTATGCGCATTTGTTTTTTATTTTCGTTTTCTTTCATGTATTTCACTGTTGAAAGAAAACGAAAAAAAAAAATCATTCATACTTTAAATTTCTTTCAAGTCAAAGGGTACACTCGAGGCTATTCAATCGCGCAGAAGACCACCAAAATGAAAATAAGCCTTGTTTTACCTTATGTCATGTTGAATCGGGCGACACGGGCTTGATTCCAGGACAGCGCAGGTCACTTCCGTTGTGTTCGATCATGAAATCTTATCTACGGTCATTCGCACTATACTGCTCCGACATGTACAGAATATTTCAGATTCTTGAGAAAGCGAATGCAACCAGTACTGGTAAACGTCCTGACAGCTTACCCAGGAACGATACAGTGGCTGAACTGAGCTCCGGTAAATTCAATTTGGTTCCCTGCCATTATCCGGAAAGTAAACTATCAACACCACCACCCATTAACATTAAGTCTGCTGTCGGCAACAGATTCTACCCATGTGATCAGTGCAGACAAAAAAGAACTGGCGGCACACCCGTGCCGTCTGATCATGGTCTGCATCGTTCGCCATTCTGTCCGTACAAACATGTAATTTAAAAGTTTCCCCTTAAAGCTGCACGCCTCCAGATGAGCAAAAATATTTCGATAAAATCAAACCTGAGAAAACTGTACTAGATTTTAGGAAAGGTATAAAGATTCAAAATTTTAGTAAAAATTTACATTTTATGTGCGATTAATGACCGAATTTTTCAGTATGTATAACTATATTTCTACTGGGTTACTAACGCAGTAAGGGCTATTTTGCATATTTTGACCTCTCTATAGTAATTTACATTGGTTGTAAGTGCCATTGGTAATGTGTAAATCGCATTCTATCGGTCACTTTACAATAAAACACTGTTAAATATATTTTCAAATGTTCATGAAATTCAGCATGAATCTGGAGGTGTGCTGCTTTAAAAGTTATGAAGGGTACTGTCCGGTTTAAAAGAAACATTAAAATATTCATTATATGAATCAATATATAGGTCTATATCTTACGTAGTTTTTTCTCCAAATAAATTTCAGGGAGAGGCTTAATACATGTAATATATAACAATTCTCTGTATCTAAGATCATTATTACAACATGCCACAACTTTTTGAAATTGCACGTCTCTTTTTAGCGGTGTACATGTATATAAAAACGTTCCTTCAACATAGCTAACATTCGTTAAGGTTGAGCACAATTTTATTGCGCTGCAAAAATCAAAAGCAACAACAAAAAAGACAATGAATGAAGTTGTGCATATCCCCACTATGCCAAGACATTGTTGTTTTGGGTTAAGGCAATATCCATCTGCGCCCGTAATTGCACAATTGCTTCTTTATCAAAAGCATTCAACAGGCCTAAGACTTATTTTTCCACATAAATGCCCATAACTTTAACAAGGTTATGTTCCCTTTTCAGACTAAAAGAACTATCATGGTGCAAAAAAAAAAAATAAACAAACAAACAAACCACCAAACAAACAAATAAATAAATAAATAATATGAAAATTAAAATAAAAAAAAATATTAGAAATTCGTGCTTACTTTATAGGCGGGGCTTAGTATACTATAGGGTTAACGCACGTTTTTCCGTGTTATAACGTCTGCAGAGTCCCGAGGAACGGTTGGTGCCCGAGCCCGGTAGGGCGAGGGCTCCACCAGTTCCGAGGGACTCTGCAGACTTTATAACACGAAATAAACGTGCGTTGACGCTATTATAGCATAAAATTTTAAAACAGATTCATGATGTATATTATATATAAAACACAAACATTAAATCCTTTTACTTGAACGGCATTTATCCAACTCTACATGTTTTACGTATGCGTTTTATTTTTTCCGGGGCCAACAACTTGAGAACCGAACGAAATTTCGAATTTTAATTGATTTAACAAAGTTTAACTTTGGAGATATATTAACTTAAGAAAAACATAACATTACTCTACCCAAGACAAAACAGACGCCTCAGAAATTCCTAGAATGATTACAGATTGGCGGTAGCATGAGTAGGAAAAAGATCAGTGACATCAGATTAAAATTCAGAATCGGGTTTTTTCAGCACGCAAGTTTAAAAAAAAATCAGGCATAAAACATTACTCAAAGAAACATACAGAACATTTATCAATATAAACGTCAATAAAGCAACGTTTTCTTATATTCATTTTGTGCTTTCCATTTTTGTAAGTTAATCGGGGGATTAAACTGAATGACAGATTCTATTTGTTTACATTGACAACTGTCCGTTTCTAAGAAAGGGCGACAACCAAGATAAGCAGCGATGTCTATACGCCGTATTGCCGGCATAATTACTTGAATGCTGCTCGCCGTTATGCGACTGAGGCCCTCGAATTAATAATTCCAATATAACAAGAGCGCATGACTCTGGCAAACAGGCCAAATCGTCATTTTTTGTTTGTTTACTGGGCCCTGTATGTATTGCGCATAGGTAAAACCGGGCTATAACAAGAGCGCGTGACTATGTTAACGCATGGTTTTGGCCCCGTTATAACATGGGCAAAAGAGGGAAAAATAGCCGATTTTATACTATTATAATATAGGGTTAACGCACGTTTTTCCGTGTTATAACGTCTGCAGAGTCCCGAGGAACGGTTGGTGCCCGAGCCCGGTAGGGCGAGGGCTCCAACAGTTCCGAGGGACTCTGCAGACTTTATAACACGAAATAAACGTGCGTTGACGCTATTATAGCATAAAATTTTCAAACAGATTCGTGATGTATAGTTTATACAAAACACAATTACATTAAATTCTTGTGCTTGGACGGTATTTATCCAATTCTATGTTTTACGTATGCGTTTCATTTTTCCGGGGCCAACAACTAGGACGAGAATTTTCCAAGTTGTTGGCCCCGGGTAGAGTAATTTTGTGTTATCTAGTTTTGTAAGTTAATCGGAGTGTTAAACTGAATGACAGGTAGATTCTACTGTATTTGTTTACATTGACAACTGTCCGTTTCTTAGAAAGGGCGACAACCAAGATTAGCACCGATGTCTATACGCCGTTTTTCCGGCATAGTTACTTGAATATGCGACTGAGGCCCTCGAATCAATAAATTTCAATATAACAAGAGCGCATGACTCTTTGGCAAACAGGCCAAATCGTCATTTTTTGTTTGTTTGTTTACTGGGCCCTGTATGTATTGCGCATAGGTGAAACCGGGCTATAACAAGAGCGCGTGACTATGTTAACACATGGTTTTGGTCCCGTTATAACATGGGCAAAATAGGGAAAAATAGCCGATTTTATGCTATAATAGGTGTTCTATCCCATGATTCAAATTATCGAATAAATAGTTTTCATTCCAACACTATCGGATTTTTTTCTATATATAGAGGATATTGAATGAGTGTAAGTTTAATACTGAATTTATTGCACGAGTTGAATAAAATTATATTATGCGAGCCTCTGGCGAGCATAATATTATTTTATTCAACGAGTGCAATAAATTCAGTAATGAACTTACACGAATTTAATATTCTATTTATCACATACCCAAAATAAAGACCGTTTAAAGTGAAATAAGAGTCATTTTTCATTGACGCGCTTGTAGTATAACGCTAACATTTAGCGCGTCTTTACACTATGTTTGTATAACGCTAATGACGTCACGTCAAAATATATGCACGGTCGTGCAATACCATATTTACGGAGTCGCAAAATCGGCACGGGTGTGTGATAAAAACGAATAAGGCCCGAAGCGTGCATTATTCTACAACAATGCACTCGCCGTTCTTATTATCTCCCTGTGTATTTTCACATTGAGGGCGCCATTTTGTTTGAAAAATCTGATAAATAAAAACAATTTTTTGTCGAATTTTGTTGTGAAAACTATCTAGAATGAAAGAAAATGGTCTAACTAAGAAAACGAATCCGAACACCAATATCTTTAATTATGTCGTTAACGCTGCACAGACGTTTAAAGTGTTGTTTACATGACGTCACAATGTAGCGCTAAACAGCACGTGCAAAACAATCAAATCAAGTACGCTATTTTAATGTCGCAAACGAGTTAAGTTTTATATTTATTTCACTTTTAATAATTTGTACTTCGCTTGGAAAATTATAGAGTGAAATGAAATAAACAAACAAATTTTTATTAACGTTTTCCTACACACGGTAGATTTAAAGACAGTTGTTTTTTCAACCCACTGGAACAGCCTTTAAAGAACGTTTCTATTGGATACTCAGAGGCGAAAACAAATTTAACCACCAAACATAAAGTCCAACTTTATAATAATAATTATATTTTTTCTTGACGTGTTAGAATGGAAATAGATATTAATTCTTCGTGCATTATTGTATAATAATGCACGTTTTTCGTTCAAATGCTTTGTAATTAATCACTCAGACCTATCGTAAGTAGATCTATACAATAAATATTTTAATTATACAATATATATTTTCAAATATAGAACATACATATAGAAAATTATCGCACACAAATATTTTTTATGATAGCAAGATTGAATAAATATTATGGTATATAATATAAAATTAGAGTTATACAATATAAATATTGGAGATAGAACAAAAAATTAATTTATTGAATATTGCAACGTTTAACATGCCATAGTCCCGTTTAAGGAAATACTTTTTAAACTTTGGATAATTGAATGAAAATAATACTTTCAAGTATCGATCTAATCTATATTGTGTGAATTATATGTATTGAGAAATGAGTTGTTCATACTAACATTATCACATGAATCTGTACGGATTTCCCGTATATTTATAACTTCGCAATAAATTTTGAAAGTACACGTAATACAAGTTTCCTCGAAAAGCGGAGTGGCTTTTTGTCAATACAGTATAAAAGCTTGTGGCCTGGCCAGTGTTTATCATTTTTTGAGCGATACCGCTTTTAAGAAAAGTCGTTAAAAATGGAAATAACGAAGTTTAATCTAGGTGTAGAAGTTAGAGGTTTCAGACTTACGGAGCAGAAGTTGTTTACGGAAGAGTTGGTCGAGAAAATTAAAAAATTGGTTCACGAACATCGCATTGTGGTTTTCAGAGACCAGGGCGAAGTGAGCGGAGAAAAACAGGTGGAAATTAGCAAATGGTTTGGAAGTATTGACGGAACCGTGTTCGAGGGAGACCCACTTTTCTCCCATCCGAAATGTCCGCATCCAGATGTGCATCGAATTTCAAACGACCCGGAAGAAGGTTGCACAAACGCCGGGCGTTCCGGTTGGCATATTGACGGTAGTTTCGTACAGAAACCTTTCGGATACGCTTTGTACCACATGCCAGCTGTGCCGAAAACGGGAGCCACAGGTTTTTTTAATTATTTACTTAATTTTAATGTCAATAACATAGTTAGAATTTTATTTCTGCATAGGTTATCAATATTTAAATCATTTTAGCGTTCACCCCCTCTCATTTTGTAGACATATAAATTTTAAAGTACAGCAAACATAAATACATATTGATGTTTCATTATAATTGTTCGCAAGCTGTTTATTAATGTTAACAATCATTTTGTGACACATGTGTGAACTATATGTCTTATAAAAATATTTGTTTTGATAGTTAATTGACTGATGTTTGAACTTCACGTGAGGACATGTGCACTAAGGTCGGCAAAATTCTTTTTGGAGAACTATACTATATATACATCATAATGTTGATACATATTGGAGAGACAATATAAATTATGCACAAATAAATGTTTTTTTTTTCCTTACAGAATTTATCGGGTTTAAGGAACTGCTCGACAGTATTCCGGAAGAAATGCGAGCAAGATGGGAGCGCCTTTGGATGGTGTCGGACAAGGGCGATAAACTTGTTCACCCACTGGTTTACTCTCATCCAGTCACAGGCGGTCCTGTAAGTGTATTTATCTCCCATCTATTTTCCTTAAATACCGTCGGATAGAAGAATAGTAGGTAGCTTAATTTATTCGGAGTATTCTATGCTGTCTTTCGGGTTAAATTATAAAAATCCTTCGGATTTATATGAATATTGATATCCAATATAAATCATTAATGTATACGATTTGACTAATAAAATCCTTCAAAAAATTGACATTAAGTGGTTAATATTTTTGCACATATATTCCCTATTGATAAATAAAAAGCATTAAATTTAATTTGATTTTACATTCCAATTGAATCTCAAACTATCATCATTCTTTCCTGAACTTACTATTATGTATGCTTTGTACATGATTTATTTACTATGCATTTATTTACCAGTCTATATTACAGTGGTTTTGTAAATATAAACCGCTAGTCATAAATTTTAGGGATGGACATGTTATTTGTTTATGCCAATAAAATACTTAACTTTGACTTTATTAAACTTTATTGTATCTTTATTACTCGTATACTACTTTTTAAACCTGATTTCATACTATATAACATATATCAGATATCAGAAATATAAATTATATAGTATTAATAAAACTTTGATATCTATAATTATCATTGACTGAATTACAGAGCAACATTTTAACAGTTTATCTCGGATTTGTAAATACAGTTTGTGTAAGTGATATCAGTGGTATAATTGGTTCAAGTGGTAATTAATACATCAAACTTTTAATGACTATGAACTGAATAATCACTTAAAGGTTTACACAACAGATCGGAGAACAGAACAGAACATATATTTTATATTTGACTTGCCTCATCACTCATCATTATTATATATACTCGTATAAACATGAAAACCACTGTGATTTTTTTCATTGTAAAATTTAAATTATACCAAAGTGGAATCTGATTATAAATATCTAATGTCATATACTACTAAGGAAGACAATAATCTACTTTAAATTGCAATAGCAAGTTTTGTGTATGCTTCATGGGATTGTTTATTTACAGATGCATTATTATTATCATCAGAACATTTCAACATGTAATTATTTGTAAACCTTCTCCGCTAGCTGTTTCAATTGCTTTGTACATTTATGCTTTATACTGTCTTGCCATATATTATGCATTGTATAGCATCACGGGCCATATGGCCTTATGAAATTATGAAAATTAAACTTATACAAACTTGTATATGTACACTTATTATAATGCATGAATCAAGAAAACAACATGTTTTTTATAGGCTATGAAATTAAAATTCATAATTATTTTTTAAATCTAAACTTTAAACATTTACACATTTTTACATTTAAGGCAATGTGCATACATCTTGGCATGACAGAGGCTTTCATTTGGGACAAAGACACAGCAGACGAACGAAGAACTGGTGCAGACGAGACTAAGACGTTGTTGGAAGAAATCCGAAAAGAGATTGAAAAAGACGGAAGGCGACTAGTTTATCCTCATGAGGTTTGTGAATTACTTGGCTATCTATTTAAGTTTTACAATAAAAGTTTATTACTAACTTAAGGAAAATGTGTCAGTTATGCCCAACAACAACCCCCGATCATCGAGCATGGAATATCACATGGGCTGTGCAATGTTTGAAGTTTTGCTTCGTTGGTAAATCGGATCACCATCTTTTTTGACAGTGTTGATTGGAATCTTAAGAAAAAGAAAACTAAAATGCAATTAACCAACGTAAATAGGTATGACAACCAATGGCTGTTTTATATATATTTTCTTCATTTAATATAATCATAAGGATCATATATTAAGTTCACGTCGGCAATATATGAATTTGACCTGGCATGATTTTATACATTGAAACATTAATTAATATATTAATAATTCGGATTCATATAAAGATATCCGGTTTCATATATGGCAACTTTGGTACCATTATTAGAGAAATTGGTATCATATATTGAGAAAATCATCTTAATATAAATTGCTACCTTGGTTTCATACACTGACGGTATGTTATTATATATCATAACTTTGGATTAATATAATGGCTAATGGTTTAATAAGAAGGTGTTTATAGTCCAGGTGATTTTATATATAATCCACATGGTTAAATTAATTGAAAAAGAACAATATAAGACAGCAATGGCTTTCCATAAATTGGAGTTACATGTATATAAATTTGAATGCTATTGCTTTTGCAAAAGCTGTAAAAATTCTAAAAAATTATATGTAATTAACAACACATTAACAATCAAGATAATTTACTTAATGCACACGACAGGAAATAAACAATTTTGAAGTGAAATCTTTATATCAAAAGGGAGACAACAGTTCCAATATCCATACAAGATGTTTTGTTAACAAAGACGTTTGAATTTTTAAAGTGATTAAAGTTATTAGTGAAGTCCAAATCCTGATGGTTACTTTTAAATATTAAAATCCCCGCTATAAGTCCCCTCATTTTGAGCTGAAAATGTCCTCCATTATTCAGGCATCGAAACGAAACCACCACATGTGTTCCACATTGCGGGACAGTCGAAGCTAGGATCTTACACTGACTGCCGGTACAGACCGGAATATTTAGCTCGAGGGTAACTGTTTACAGGCTAAACAGATACGAGTAATTAGGAAAACTAATATTTTTTATTTAGTACTCTTTTTTCTTTCTTTTCATAACGGCAATATGACGTCATTCTAAGATCGCAATTCATCCAGGCGGGCGGAAGTGACGTCATATAAAGCACGCGACTCCTCTAACATAAGAGTGTTAGACAGGGTTTTCTATCGCCGCTGTAGACAGTAGACAATCGTGTCTAATATGCAAGAAAATATTGTTAGACAACTGACTTGTGCGTATTTGGAACCTTTTTAAATGTATGTGTTTTATTTCAGTGGAAAGATGGTGACTTTGTTATAACCGACAACCTGGCTGTCGGCCATTTTGCCAGTGCTAATGCTATAAGACCAAGGTCAGAGGTCGGGCTCCGGATTCTACATCGTACAACCATCAAAGGAATCAGCAGACCAACAAAGGGATGAGCTACAATACATATGAGACAATACAGTGTATATTGGGTTTAAGGCCAACCTTATGCTAAAAACACTATTCCAAAAATACATCAAGCCCAAGCATTTTTGTCCACGTGCTTTTTGTACATTTGCAAGAAACTACCTTTCTTTAAATACTTTTATTTGTATATGATGCTCCTAGATTTGTATTTTGAAAACAAGTTTTTGTTTAGATTTTGTTAAAGTCACATAATGCCCATTTCTTTTTACTGTTAAGCTGTTATAAATAGTCCCATGTTTCAAGTACAATGGCAAAATTTAACGACAAAATGGCATTTCATTATTTTGGAGTTATTTTGAATTTTACCTCAACATCTACCAATTTCATGGGCATAATGTCACTTTAAGACATCATTTTCTTTCAAAATTTCTAAAGAACTGAACTACAGAAAAAAGAAATTAATTATCCATTGACATAAGGATTGTAGATGTTCATAATGAAATTTTTCTGTAACAAAATAAATTATACAAAATGTTTAAATGTCACAGATATGAGATATGCATGATTTTTGTTGTTAAATACATACTTTTGTTAAGCACAAATAAGCAATTACAAATCAAAATGCTAAATGTTTTTTTTATAGTTCATATACAAAGAAGTGAATGCCAAATGTAATTTATAGTTCATATACATAGAAGTGAATGCTAAATGTTATTTATAGTTCATACAATAAGAAGTGAATGCAAAATGTTATCTATTTTATTAATTCAAAGTTCTTATACTGCAACGAAGTGAAAGCAACATGTTCTTTATAGATCATATAGATCTACAAAGAAGTGAATACTTTATGTTATTTAAAGTTCATACTTGGCGTATAAATTTGAGAGAGAAAAAAAGGCTATAAATTTTTTTTTGTTACTTTATAAATGTGTAGCAATTCTATCAAACACTACATTTCAACCAATACTGGTTGCATCTAAAATTGTTTATTTGCATGATTTTACTTTAATGGTGATTTATAAGCCAGTCCATTGGTGGTGGGGTTTTGGTTGCATTTATGAATGTACGGTATGTGTGTGTTCATATTACCCTTATACACCATTATTTTACATATTTAATCACTTTGGAAACTACGGGACTTTCTATATATATTTCACATTGTCGTTAACAGTTGCTTCAGTGGAAAAGTTATGCAAATGGCAAAAAAAGTATAGCATTCATTGCTCAAGCAATGTTTCAAGATGCATTTTTTACTTGCCATTATTGTAAGAGTAAGCTATTTTCCTCTTTGCTTTTCATTATTTATTCATTATTTTTCCACGTATGATACATATTCATAATTAATGTTTTACTTATTTACAGATTTATTTGTAACTATGTATAATTTTTTTATTTAGGCTACGTGCCTATAGACATGACAAGATCTACAGTTCTGAGCAGATCCTACTAGCTTATGTTAACATTTCAGGGTTAAAACAATTTACAATGCCGAATCATGTACCATCTGCAATGTTTTTAAATATGTTGTTGACCTATATCTAAAAAATTGGGTTTAAAGGAAAGCACTAGTATTTATGCCCATAAACATTTATTTCACCGCAATACATTTATGTTGCGTTCATGAGTGATTTGAAATAAAAGTGTAAAACCGAACTGTTTTGCGTCTTTTTTCTTCTTGAAACAGGTTGTATAACCGCTTATCCATAATTCCTTCTTAATGCACAAACAGAATACAAGAATTTGGACGGTACTGGAAAGTTCAAGTTACCGTCCGTGACCTCTAGCACCGGTTTAAGGACAATTTAACATTTGAGCCGCGTCACGACAAAACCAACATAGTGGGTTTGCGACCAGCATGAATCCAGACCAGCCTGCGCATCCGCGCAGTCTGATCAGGATCCATGCTGTTCGCTCACCAACTCTATAACAAGTAGAGAAACTGATAGCGAACAACATGGATCCTGACAGACTGCGCGGATGCGCAGGTTGGTCTGGATCCATGCTGATCGCAAACCCATTAGGTTGGTTTTGTCATGACACGGCTCATTTAATGTTGATAAACATTTTGGTCTAACAGAGGGAAGCAATTTAGGCAGGACCTCTTTGAAAGAAATAAATGAATAATTATTGATAATGATTTGAACTTTTTATGTCTGATGTATCTAGAACTGCTTTCCTTATTTTAAAACAAACCAACCATCACACTTACAGTTTAAAGGGACTCCACTATGGACTGAAAAACCTAAAAACATCAGATTTAAAATCAAATCAACTCGAGTAATAAAAACAGAAAGGAATTGTTAAGAAATATAATCAGAAGTAAATTGAACATCTAATTTTGTGCTGTGTTCATAGCCCGACTTGAGTGAAAACATGTGTAACACTTTTAAATATTGTGTCATTTTCAAAAGTAGACTAATTGTTATAGAAAACAGGAGGAAGCGAATGATCTGAAATTTTGCACGCACGTAACTGGTCTAGACTGCTATCAAATGGATTGTCGATCTCGAACAATTATTAAAAACATTCAGCGGAGTCCCTTTAATATGTATTAATATAAATAATCTGTCGAACATATCGTCGTTAATTAACCAAAGCGGTCCGATTCTTTAAATAGATGATCTATATACCCTTGACTGCCATTCAACCAAGACTGGGATCATAATACTTCCTTACTTGGAAATAAGTAAATGATAAGCGCTGGAATGACGTAATATAGGTTTTAAAGTTTATTAGTATGTATTTACAAAATTAAATTGGTAAGGCGCCGTTTATTTTACGGTGTATTGTATTGGTAGTTTTATTTATACTTTATTACACAAGTTATCCCCATAATATCACACCGTATTACCGGCGGCAGTGATGGCAGATCACTGAAGTGATGGCAGATATCTGAAAATTACCGATCGGTGCAGGTAGGCTATAACTTTGGTTGGTTTAATTATATTACACAAATACGGCCCATATCATTGCTATAAAACTATTGTCCATTGAATGGAGATACTGTAAGGTAATATTGGACTCGTTTTTTCCTGTTTTAAGACTATTTTGAGCAGGTTAAAATGAAAGCCTTGGAAAAAAATCCGTGAAAATGTCTGTTTTCTGTTCAAAAATACCTTAAGTTTTAAGTAAATGGCAGGATTTCCTGTTATCAATATAGACGTTCATCCATTGGGGTCACGCAAGCCAAATATCTACCCCGTGAGTCTTTTCTTGAAAGTTTTACAGACGCTCAATCTTGTCCGGTCGAAGAAAAAATGCTGCCGTTGTAGGCAGATACATATTATAAATGCTGCCGTCGATGGCAGAAATACCACGAAAGTGGCTAACATTCTGACAGAAAATCAAGTTCAATCTTCTATCAATTCCTCTTTCTTTGCGTCCTTTTTAGTCGGAATTGAGACGTTAAACTATCATTTCTAATATTTTCTCAAGATAGAAAAGTTATTAATGCGGTGTGTGCATCGAAAAAAGCTTTTTAGCAACATGCAGTTACAATACAAAAAGTGATGATTTAGAACGACAAAATTTCACTATAAATAGAGAAATGAACATGAAAAACTTCATTTTTCTATATTTATGCATGTGTGCTTGATCTGTTCATATGATTTGAAAGGTCAAAAAAGAGAAAAAGAATATAACAAATAAAAAAATTCTAGTTTTTTCCCTATAAATACAGGATTTATTTTCATCTTGTGATATGAATCATCGAAAGGTTCATCTTTATAAGTTGTTACAACATAAATGAATGAAAAAATATATAGTTAAATGGGAGCACGTGATGTTAGAACTGTTGTTAATAGTTTAGCGTAGTAAATGTCATTCAAAGGCAAACTACAGCGCTATTACAAACATGAAATTTTAAAGAAATGAATCGCCGTTGTCGTGTTTTTCAAGAACTTGATAATATAGGAAAATATTTGAACTGTCAATAATATTATCTTTCCATTAAAGAAATAATATACCCCAAACTGTGATTTTATTGCTCAATAACATCACTGTTTGGAGTTCGGATGCGGGGAATTATAATTATCACGAGGGCGTAGCCCGAGTGATATAATGATGCGCATCCGAACGACAAACAGTGATGTTATCAAGTAATAAAATCACCGATTTGGATATATTATTTCGATTCTAACACGACATCTACAAATAAATGCTGCCGTACATAATAATTAGCTTAATTGCGCCTGATTTGTTTCCGTACTTATTGTCAGCGAGTCACATAGTGTATAATCAAGGGGAGGAATCACGCCGTTCGTTACCCAAACAAACAAGATGGCGGACGCAGCCAAAAAGTAGGTTTTTCCCTTTTTTCTCTGAAATTCGTGATGTTCTTGTGTAAAGGTACATATAACAACCTTCTACACAATTTTCCTGGCACACAGAAATTTATTTCATGGTGTTTCGTCCCGTACTTCTTCTGAAATGCGCGTCACCAGATTCGAAGCGAGAGAATTTTCCACCGGTTTGATCGTGGTAACGTACGGCTTCTTCACTCAAATTCGCTGTTTCTTTACATATATGTATATTAACTGAAACCACTGACTTTAAAAATTTGTAATATGTTGTTAAGTAATCATTCATGCCCATTTTGGCTAGATTTACTGGTGTAAATATTAATATCGGGGCATTTTCCGGAAATGATAACGTATGGCGTATAAAATATCAATGATAACGTACGGCGCATTTTTCTACTTGGTGGATTTCTATTTGTCCAGTCAGCTGATGATAAATAATTTGTATGTAGGATATGATAGATATTTGAAACAAAAAGTTTGTCATTTCAGAAATAAATTATTGAACAATGCTGCACCATCGGGTATCAATATCTTTCTAGCTGGTGGCATAATAGATATTCGTTGTAAATATACCAAGTAAAACACAGGTTTATAGTTTGAGAATATTTTTGTATAAAATGCAGAAGGGAAATAAAAGCCTCCACTTTTAGGAAAAATTTGTGTATTGTTGTCTTCACATTAACTTTCGCCAGTGTTGTGCGATAATTATGGTCTTATCCCCTTATCAGGAAGAAGAAATGCATTCACCAGAGCAAAAATGTTAAAATGGTACGGAAGACTTGATATATTTTCTTTTCCAAAATTACTTTAACAAATTACTGATAAGAAAATCTTAATATTTGAACCACGTCAAACATAAACAAAACGACTAGCTTACACTCAGAGGAGATGAGCCTGTGTTTATACAATCTGGTCGCTCATTAAAAGAAATTCATAAAAGAGAATAATGAATCAGTATAGGTTCTATATTGAATTTATTGAATTAGTTAGAAAATAATGTTTTGCGAAAAAATTCAATATATTTTTAAATAAGAAATTTCCAGTTTATTTGACGAAACGTTTTCTATTTAGCGTGACGTTGTGCCACTATGACGTCAGATATATTTGCACGACACATCCGTACAGTTTTTTATTATAAATGATTTGATCAAAACAATTACATCCAATTCATAAATTTGCCTATCATATTTTGGCTTTTTTTCTCGCAAACACCCCAACAAAAACAATCAATCTCTTACAAAATAGTATTGCAGGTATCAGCAATAAAAGAGTGTCATTGAAATTTTGCGGTAAACATTTTTACCGACCATGATAAAGTTTCAAATCGGATTTGGATTTCGATGTTTTGTCCATTACCGAGAACCCGTCTGAAATCATTAAAGCTAGACCGCTCATGAATGCGCTCAGATGACGTCATTATCTTTATGAAAGAACAGCTGTAAAATTACTACGCTACTATGATAATAGTGTTTACGAAGTATATGTTAGTAACATATACTTTCGTAAACAATAATATCATAGTAGCGTTAGTAATCAGTTAGTGTTCATCTGTGTTGTTCTACAGAATTAAGAAAAGTTTGACAGGAGCGATAGCGGCCGGAGAATGTTTCTTATTTCCGTAGAACAGCTACGGATGAATACTAACATATTTAGTGCCAAGCTTTATTTGGCTTCATTAATATTTACTTTCTTTCGTCACTATACTTGTCTATTTTTACGAACACATTTCTATGAAGCACTATGAAAAAATAGAAGTTTATGTAGTGTCCAAATTTATTTCTCACCCAATGAAAGCGCTGTTTTTCTAAAAGAAATCTGTGCGCTAATTTTCATTGAAGAATAAAAGACGATACTTTATCGAATTCCGTTCATAGTCGATTTCTCATAATAAAATTCATAGAACAGCATAGTGACGTAATAAAGTGCCAAAAAAAGCTTGACGCTTAGTATATTAGTATTCATCCGTAGCTGTTCTAACAGAAATTAAAACATCATTCTGTCGCTATCGCTCGCGTCAAAATCTATAATTTCTATAGAACAGTACGGATGAGCACTAACATATACATAGATATTTGAAAATTTGGGATAAGTTTCACTTTTTGACGAAACTTTAAGATCACCAAAGGTGGAAAAGTTGCTCTATATTCGAGTATGATATGCAAGAAAAACATATCACTCGTGATTACCTATCGGATTTTAATATCCATCCCACTGGCACCTGCACAAGGGCTTAAGTTAGCAAGACTCGTTACAGCCCAATGCGAAAGAGCCCTTGGATCGGATATTTCTATCCGATACAAAAACACATTACAGATATTATGCAAACACTAAATAATATTCAGTTTCTTTATT